ATTTCGCCAGCGTTACCAAAGTCTAATGGAAGGGGTTTGCAATCAATTAGATTATATCATGCCTCATCATATAGTAATCATGTTTTTTCACCGTCCCGTTATGCATACTCGAGGGCAGCGCTTTTCGAGGAGCGCTGTGGCCCGAAGGTTTGGACTTTGAATTATGAAAAACGTCCGCCCGCCGCAAAACGCAAACACCGCAAAACGCGCAAAACGCACGCCCGAAACGCCAACGCAAAGGTCGCAAAAAATAAACAATCGCCCGCCCGCCGCAAACCGCAAATAAAAAACCGCAAAAACGCCGCAAAACAATGAAACCGCCCGCATCGCACGCCCGTATCGGCGATGTCATTCTATCGAAAGATGCTCTTATTGACACTGTGGAATTGATGACGCGCTAAATTGACACATATGCCAGTCCTGCTTTCATTTCTATCGATCTCAGTTACATTTCCGATAGCATTGACTACAACCTACTTTTGGCTAGCCTTAACCCGCGACCGCCTGGGGGGTCGGATCCGACCCCCCTCCGTTTTTCTTGAATAACTCATGAACCGCTTGCGTTATCAACTTGAAACTTCGCATACCTTCTCCCCCATCAATTTGACGTCTCCTGTGCAATTTATAAGAAAAAAATTTCAAAAATTTTTGAGATATATCGATTTTAGTGATGTAACTACATGGCGTTTTCAGTCAAAAAATGGTAAATGTTTAAAAAATCGCCAAAAATCGAGGTCTTAAGCAAATTGCAAATTGAGGACACGAAAAGACGCAGCTTAACGAGTTCTTTAAAATGGCTATCTCGGATTTTCCATAAAATGCGTTTTTCACCCCTAAAAATTCAAAAAACTATTTTTTTTTGCATGTCCGGAGTCACCGGTATTGTATTAGGTTATCATCGGATAACTGATAATGTGCATATACAAACACACGTGTAGGTATACACCGATCGGTGGCACCGCCAAGCAGGAATGGCTGGAAAAGGATTCGCAAGTTAGTATTGTTAGAGTGAGGACAGTTAGTGTTAAAGGTTTGTGAGGGAATGCTTGACGGTGCCAATCAATCAATCAATATGACAACCAGCGCAGTCAGTGGTCCACATCTGGGCGCCATCGCTCGGCCCGCCACAAGGCTATCTCAGCCCCCAACAGGCCGAGGCCCACCACCTCAGACAGCCGAACGCACCAGGTATCACACCCGTTATCGGCCCGTGTCCAGGACCAGAGACAGCCGCAACACAAATTCCATCATTGTGGCCCATGAGCGCCCGCAACCACACGCCATCCTGGCCACGGCCAGCGGTTCAACGTCCAGGCGCAATAGCCCAGTCCCAATGTTATCCCTGACGGCGTAGGCCCGTCGTCGACAGTCAAATGGTCCGGTCGGGCGCAGCCGACCGGACACCGAACTCGACCGGCCGTCACGCCCGGCCCAGGCCAATCCTAGTTTGAGAGGCGCAACGTCATTGTTCCTCGTAGCGGCACCAGGTAGTCGCATACCATCCAGGCCACGGGTAGTGTGTCCTAGGCCGCCGCACTCCCCAGCAGGCGGAGGCCCGCCGCCGCTGGCAGTCGAGCAGCCCCAAGGGGTCAGGATGCCGCTTTTTTTGGAAAACAGCGAATAAAATCCAAAATTTTGAGAATTTCCAAAAAACCGGAATATATGTTATAGAGCTCTATTAGAACATTAGATGTCCCAAGTTTCAACTTTCTATCTTGATTTTTGACCCCCAAATTGTAAAAAATAGCTCCAACATGCATAGGGCATGGTGACGTCATAAGCATTTTCGCAAATTAGAGGCACTTCTGAACATCGCATGTGAAAACAAATGGCACCACTAGATTCCTGAGACAAAGCTCGTCTAGAAAAGTGCATTTTTATGTCAAAAATAAAAAGTTGAAAAATTGACTTTTTTTCTTAGCCCTCGTTTAGTTATGTATGGTATAAACGATTTTTTATGCTTTCAATGCACACTTATCACCAGCACAGTGACTTGGGGTCACATATAACCATTACCATCGGATTTGGCGTGAAAAATAAGCCATAAAACATGTGTCGCACGCCCATGTAGCAGAAAGTGAAAACCGTGACCTTTCGTGACCTGACCTTGATCCGTACTTATTATGACCCCTATACGCACATGGTACCTTCACTAGGTCTTTGAGGTCATTTGTGGTGAGTTTCGAGCAGCAGCTATCGATTCCGCTGTCCGTAAGCCTAATCATGCAAAACCCCTGAATTTGACCTTTGACCTGACCTTGACCCGAAAGTTGACCTCAATCTTAAAATCTTAAGAGTGCTTTGGGAAGGTCTCGTAGAGACCTTTCGAACGCCGCCTCGCGGGGCTCGATACGACCATTGGTTCTCGAGATAACAGGGGGGGGGGTCGGATCCGACCCCCCCCCCAGGCTGATGTGGGTACGGAAATAGCCCAGGCGGTGCCGGGTTAACTTATATCAGCATTGACTCGCAATGGTTCACGAGTTACCTTTGTAGCCGGTGACATAAGGCGAGTCAGATATGTTTCTGAATGTCACTGCACTTGTCTCCAAGTAGCGCCTGAATTGTATTTTAGAGGAGGAGAGGCGAGAGAGAGAGAGAGAGAGAGAGAGAGAGAGAGAGAGAGAGAGAGAGAGAGAGAGAGAGAGAGAGAGAGAGAGAGAGAGAGAGAGAGAGAGAGAGAGAGAGAGCGAGAGCGAGAGAGAGAGAGAGAGAGAGAGAGAGAGAGAGAGAGAGAGAGAGAGAGAGAGAGAGAGAGAGAGAGAGAGAGAAAGAGAGAGAAAGAAAGAGAGAGAGAAAGAGAGGAGCTAAGCACAGACGATAGACACTTTTCTATCAACTGTTGGCGTCATGAACCTATTAGAGGCTACCAAATCTCTCATCTCAGGTGATTAATATTTGAATAACTATATAATGCTCTGTATACCTACCTCACATTCTTAAGTATGATAAAAGCAAAACGTCACACTAGCTCCACTAAATGTGGCTCATTTTGCTATATGTATTCACCCGCCGCGGCCGGTCAGTTTCTGTGCTGCGGCACAGTATAGCTGCAGGCGCCCGACGTCCCTGCCATCTAGCGGAAGATATCGGAATAAGAGCGAATGGTCTGTCCCTGTTGTGCAAAGGTGCGCATCCATAAGCACTAAAAGTTGTTATTATGAACAAGTACCTAGATCATCACGTATTGCTTGGGCGTTTTTTCATTTATTTCATTATTTTCAAAACATTTATTTCACACAGACATGAAACCTTCATAAAGAGGCAAGGCACGCAACTCAGATCAAAACAAAAAAAGCAGCTAGTCCCCGTGCTCTTACAATCCCTCCTCTCCCATCCCTTCTGCGAAAAAAAAAAAACAGTCAAACATCGCCATCCGGCCCGATGCCATGCCACACTCAACATTTGGATGTTTGGACATCCAAATGGGCGTTTCTTTTAGTATGCAATCTGAAAGTCTACTCCCGTCAACGTTACTATCTTACTGAGTTTGTTGTCGTTGAAAGTGTTTGGCCGTGGAGCTGGTGCCACAACTGATTATGCTTTTCCCTTTGGTCGTAAGGTCTGCGTAACCAGTGACTTTACCCGGAACTTTTAGCATCTCATTGACTTATGATTTATGACCCGTAAGCTCACGTCATAGGCGTGCCCTTTTGCACGATAAAAATGTCTCACTTTCGAGACACTCTCAGTCCTTGAAAATCTCACTTAAATCTTTCCTTACCTATCTTCCCTTTTGGATTACTTTTTGATAGATCAGGAGATTCACATGAAAATATCTGCGAAGACTCACGTTGACTGAAATTATAGTTACTCACATGCAGGTCGCAGGACCACTGGCTGCGCAGGGAGGGCATGGGGGGGGGGAATTCCCCCTCCCCGCGGTGCCCGATATCGACGAAAATTTTCCGTTTTCGAGGATAAAAAGAAAACCAAACAACTTCATTTAGGTACGAGTATGTAAAGATTGTTTTAAACTGCACAGCAGTGCGTAAGAAATCGAAATCCGAGAAATTTTTGGAATTTAAAGAGGCTTTTTGAGAGCATGCCCCCTCCCCCTCAGCGTCCATGATCCCCTTTCTGGATCCGCCAGTGTGCGGGGAAAACATTAATTGACTATTTACGAATGAAATAACAACAATCGAAGGCAAAGCGGACGCATTAAAAATCGTTTGGCACTTTTATTTAAACCCGGTATCATGTATTTAGACTCTGAGTTGTGTCTCCTTATTATGGCATGGTAAAACAATATTGACTTCCCGAAATTTGTACCATATGCATGCAAAAAGTAATGCTATTCTCTGAAGCTATGTAACTTGATGAAAAGTAAAAGTTTTAGCTTGAACAACTCAGCAAGCAGTACCATGAGTTGCCATGTCTCACTGCTTTCTGGGAGTCCGTATTTTACGACTCCATTAATTTGCAACAGCGCTCACTGTGTCAGGAGAAACAATTAAGGGAAACCGGGCATGGCTGAAAGGGAAACCGATGAAAGTTGTCCAAATTGGTGCACGGCATAAGGGAGCCATTGTCTCCCAAAAAACACGCTGGGATGAAAAACGCCAGAAAAGAAAGCGTGCGCAGATTGGCGTAAATAGCGGAGCTGGAATGGTGCTTGTGGGACACATTAATAGCAAGACCTGTCAATGGGCCATTTCAGGACAATTTGGCACCGAATGAACACTTGACTGACCCGCTTACGGCTCCGAGCACTTTCGCTTCTGCCTGGCTCACCTCACGCGGCGCGGCCTCTCCATGCAAGGCTGGGTGATCACGGAGCGGGCAGCCGCCGCCCCGCTCTGCGGCGACAATATTCCGCCGTCTGGGTGCAGGCTGTCAAACAATCACCATAACGATGACAGTGTTGTCAGCACGCCACTGAGCGGGGCGGGGGCGGGGGCGGGGCGGGAGCCGGTCGCCGGCAGCGGCCGGGCCCCACGCCGCCAGCCGAGAAAGTCGCCGGCTGACGGCGGCGCCAGTGCTGGCGAGGAGGGCTGACGGCGCGGTCGGCGGCGGCTGGGTGTCGGCAGTTCCTGTCACGTGCCGGCAGCGTTGACGGGTCAGTGGTGAGGTGTCAGTGTCAGTGACAGGTGACAGCTCGGCTCCACCTGAGACTCAGCACCAGGCAGCGGCCCGTCCAGAGAAGCCGACATGGAGGCGCCAATGCGCAGGTAATGATGGGGAAGGCTTGTCCTTGCACGCACGTGCATCGCACAGGATAGCTGCATATCCTTACAGTCACAATGCCAGGCTGAATACTGCATAGCTACCTGCAATAGCATATACCCGGCACGATTCGCCAAACACGTCTGGGAATACATAACAATTTGTCTTGTGTCTAGTTTGTATTGTTGCTGTTTTTGACGTTTTAACATTTAGATTGCACACTTTCCTCTTTTAACGTTTGTTTGAAACTCATGATATCAAATATCAATAGTATTTAAAACAATTGCCACAGCTTCAATATTGCCAAGCATCAATTATAAAAACTACACAAAGAGGGAAGCTCACAAAAAAAGACAGTTCTTCTGGTACGTTCCGTTATTGTATACGATTCCGGTATAGCATGCGTTTATTGCGTAGTGCGTACAGCAATGACGCAGGCTCATAGAGCAGCAAGCCTATCATGGATGCAGTGCAACCACCGCCGATGGATGCATTTGATTATGACGGGTAGACATGCAGCCACTAGCATCGCAAACTCGTGGCTCAAAAATATGCACTTTTAAATTCGTTTGTAAGGCTTGTAGAATTGTAGATAGTTATGCGATACCCATGCAATAACTGATTTGGCGATGTGAAAAAGGCCAACCCGTAATATAGTAGTTGAATTAACCACAATTCCCAAATCGATTTCCGGAAGTGCCTTGGCTTACATTCAAGCAGCATTCGACAGAGACGGTCTGTCCTGATTTTTACGCAAGCAGGTTCAAGATAACATCTGGATGCAAACCAGTTTATTGCATCGAACACTTATCTCATTGATTGTGTCGGTGCATGTAGAACAGTGGTGGATCTACATTTATATAATAAAACACACGGTCGCAAACGGTGTCTGCCGCCGAAGTCGTGGCTCTCACAGTAAACAGCACAGCACGAAATGTGTTGGCTTGTATAGCAAATTGAATTTGGAATTTGTACGCAATAGCCATTGCAGTTTAACTCGCAACATTTACCTACTTCCTTGACTAAAAGCTAGTTTACGGCAAGACATGTGAGCCAACGCTTCGGCAAATGGTCTCGACATATCTGGGTTTGCTGCTTGAATTATTGCACATAAGGGGAGAACATTATGCGGCATCAGAATTTGCATGCCTAGGGATAACCTATCTTATCACGCTTTCACAGAAAATCGCATGAAGGCTTGCGATCATTCCTGTTACAGACGGTTGATTCCGTCACCTATTTTACGGGCCATTACCGTCTTGGGTGATGCTCAGACATGACACCGAGTTTCCTCTCTTCTCTCTTCTCTCGCTCGGCTGCCCCGCTTGCTACCGTGGGTGCAAACCGCGTGATGAACGCTTCACAGTGTCTTGTGATGGCGAGTCAAAACGTCACAACAAACACAGAATGTTTTGCCTTTGTGGGCAGCATCCGGGTTAGCTCTCCCCCTTCGCTCTCGCCATCCCCATTCGTTGCCTCCTTTGGGCTCCGTATGTCATTTGCTGCCTGGCGTCGCAGCTCGGTGCCGAGATGTCGGTAGGTTTCACTTTCTACGTCGCTGTTTTACTCGCCGGTTACACGGTGGGCGATAATTTTAGGAGCGGCTCCCACGAACACACGCTCGGGAACAAACGAAAGTGATGCCTGTTGTTTGCATGCCGTTCCGTCGAGCTTTTTATGCCCGGAAAGAAAATGATCAAGCACGACAAGCCACTCATTGACTCGTAAGCTTACTAGAACCGATGTAAGCTAAGCAGCACATTCCGAGCGTGCCACCTGGGACGTGAACTGTACCTCGCTAGATAAAGCAAACGCTTCCAATAACACAAAGCATTTGTAAGTGCTTTGTAGGCAGGCATTGCTATTTTCTTTTCTTTTACTTTGATCATGACGTTCAGAAAAACGGAAGCTGATATTTGGGTCACGTTTGTCGAGTAGAGGCTTATCATGGTGTGTGGCTTCTCAGAAGGCTCATCTTTGTTCACTAATACCACCATTGATCCAAACTGGACGAGATTGAGACTCGCCAATTTCTCTCGCGCCATATCTGGGGAGAAGGCGTCGGCTGTTGCCTGGCAGTCACCCATGTCTGCCCATGGAAGAGAGTGAAACCGGTCGGTGTGACGTGGCGCCCGGTCACTGGGGGGTGACGGACTGTGCCGTGACCCACTGAGGTCGGGGGGCCGTGACGTCCCCGCGTGTTCATCCAGTCTTACCCGGACATCCTCTGCCCACACATCGACAGGGCGACAGGGGGTCACCCTTCACTCCTGGGCGCCGCTGTTGACGCACCACTTTGATCACCATATCCGGTACACCGGTGACGCGGCCAGCACGGCTGCCGTCGGGTCGCGATCTGATCGCTGTGCCATGGCTCAAAGGCCGCCTGTTTATTTGTGATCGAGTGAGCTCTGCCAGCTCTGACCCGTCCGGTCTGGTGGCTTGGCGCCGTTCAGCCGGAACACAAACTGCTCCTGCTGGGGAGTTTCTCCGGCGTGGTTACGCCGCGGTGAGGGAGGGCTAGCCCAGTGTGTGGTACCCGGAGACAGTCCTACTCGGGCAGAGGAACCACGCCGCGGCGACAGCAGAGCGAGAAACTGGCCTCACAGACACCAGCTCGCGCCGAATGCGTCCAACCGAACAATGGCTGGACGGGGAGACGGCGAGAGAAAACCGTTCGAGTGGCGGGCGGCTGCGATTGATTGCCAGTGGTCGAGAGGTAATAACTCTCACACTACAGCTGGGATGGAAGAGCACGGAAGGCAGATGGAGTTGGAGAAAGAAGCTCAAAATAAATAAAGTGCTCGTCGCTGGGGAATGAAAGCATGTTATAAACTGGGCAGCTATGGAAAAGCTAGAGGGGAAGAAGCGGGCAAGCTAATGTGGGTTACTGAATGTGGACCTGGGCAAGTGATTCGAGAGACGAGAAGTTTTAGAGAAACGACCTGAGCAGCAGAGTGGGTGGCACTGGACGTACTGTAGTGTTGGACCGGTCATCTGACCTACAATCAATGAATAATCGTGTCACACGTGACAGAGCGAACAATGCCTGCCATCGGACGTAACACGCCCGGAATTTTAATGCGGACAACGCGGGAAATGTGTCATTAGATGTGAGCCAAAGATGTCGCCTCAGGACCTGTTACAGTCATTGTTAGTGATCCACACGATTCATAATCAAAAGAAAGCTGGTTCAGAGCTAAGCCGATAATGATGATGGATAAGTTGTCTATTCATATCGGTACAAGTTTCGTTTGATTATGTCACGAATTCACGAGTACCCACACCGAGCGGGAACTATATCATGAAATTTAAGCACGGTTTCAATCCGATCTGTGATGAGCAAAAGACGATCAGATGGCTGGTGCACGAATCTGTCAAGCATCAGATAAAAGATATTGTATTTTTACACTTTCGCAACCTAAACACGACTTAAATGTCACGTACTAGAGGGAAGGTAAAGATAGTCGTAAGTATTTCTTTCTTTGGAAGTTTTTTGTAAGCAGCTCACTAGGCATTCCTGCATATCGGTACTTACTCCTGGATTGAGCGAGATATGCATCGACAAATGTATGTGTGGGCAAATAGCCTATTTAGGCTACTATATAATGCATCTCGGAGTGCATGAAGGAGCAATGGTAGCATAATTAGTTGAAAAGCGAGATTATCAGCTGTGTTTTGTTCACCGAAAGTGTCATTCGTGGTTCAGTCAGCTTTCCCATGGTCAGGGCCGCTCCACGAGGCCGTTTTCACTATGACCGCACCTCTATTCCGCGCGGCCGGACTGTAAACAACGATCAGCTGACAGTCGGCTGCCGGATCAGCTGACCGACTATCAGCTGACCGGCAGTCGTCAGCTGATCACTTGCGCTTTCACAGGGGACAGTCAACCACAACCATGAGACATGGGAAAATTGTTTAGGTATGGACGATTTGATACGACCGATTAGATAATAGCTGTTTTCACGACGGGATATTTGGTGAATGCACCAAACTTAACTAAATCTGCGCCAAGTCTCTTTAAGAACATGATCTTCATCTCATGCATTTATTTCAGTGTTTTAATAATGTTTGATAATGTGAAAAAGCGTGCATATTGCATAGGAATACATAAATATGCTAGCAACCCAAACTGATAACTTCTAGGAAACACATTAAGTCTAATTTGACCAAATCTGCGCCAAATCTGCACCATATATAAGCCAAATGTGTACCAGATAGCCGTCGTGAGAAGGCTAATAATACGGATACTGATTCACGAAATGTAGATACCTACATTTGGGCCACATATCAAACAAAGACATAATGAAATTTTTGAAGGAATTCCATTTTGAACATTTCTTCATTCAACTCCACAATGATAAATTATTATGCACCCGCTCTCCTGGAATGTAAATGCGCTTTGAGTTTGACCCGCTCTCCCGGCATGTAAATATGCCGAGCCCAGTCGCTCTCAGCGTTCACGGCATGTTCACGGTCAGGGCCGTTATCTAAGGCCGTTTTCACTGCAGGTGGATCACTCCCCCATCCCACGAGTCCGGACTGAACCAGCGACCAGCTCAATCAGCCCGGCCATGTTATCCGTCCATCCCTCTTTAGTTCGGACTCCAAACTATGATGTTTATTGAGTTTCGCACTATAAACGGTAAGATTATACATGGGTATTCCAAGGAAACTGATGTTTAAATTTATCCGTGATTTAACGGAAAATATCACTATGAGCGGCCAAACCCGTCGCCGTGACGCCTCATATCTCGACAACCACTCTGACTCAACCGAGCGACAAGCGGTCCTCTGCATCTAATTGATTCATCCCTTAAATCATGAACATGACTACTTTTGATGCAGACCAGCACATGCCGAGTGGGGGCCTGAATTCTAAAATTGTTCCGCTGGCAACGACAACGCGTTGCCTTGGTGGATTGTGTTGGAACTTGGACAATAGATGGACATGGACCAGATAATGCGTTACCATGTAGGGGTGCAGCTGTATATACATACGTGC